CCCTCTGACATCCAGCTGGTGAAGACACTAACCAAGCGCCGAAGCGCTGGTGTCACACCCACGCGCTAGTTCAACGAGACACTGAGTCCTCTACCCAGAGAGCCGGTTGTACATGTAAGGCCCCTCCACTGTAATGCGCGACCGGTGGGCTATCTCGGTTTCACGAACCGCGCGATACCGCCCAGTCACCTAGAAAAGACTTCCTCCTCCCTCTCTCTCGACAACCACCACGGCGTGACATGGAAGCTCCGGGTTGGTTGCTTACGCAGTGGAATGGGACAGTCAGGGGGGGGGGAGATCCAGATCGATAAGTGAAGTGACAACAACGGGGGAGAGTGAGGATGGCAGGGGAACAGTGGAAGACCTTGCAATGCAAGGGGCGAGGTGGGTGCGGGGGGGAGAGAAGGATCGCCTACCTGTGGCCCGTGTCCAATTCTCCGGTGGACACTGTAGCACAATGCTGACTCGTCTCGCCGGTGTCACCCAGCTCCTCCTAACACCACTACTCACACCCAACTCAGGACGACGGACGCTGTGGCGCTCGGTACTAGACGAGCAGGTACCAAGTCGTACACGCCAACACCATTGGCTTAGCTGTATCCACGGTTTGTCCACATGGTATACTGTGCTTGAGCCTGTGTACACGCACCTGCTCTCTTTTGGGCTTTATTTTTTCACCTGGTGGATTTTGGATAAGAAAATTGAGGACCAACACTAATTTTTCTCTCCTCTCTCCTCCGCCCAGAGAGCCCACGATTATGCTCCAGACGTGGCCATGCCAAGAGACAAGCCTCGCAGCAACTGAAACACGTGGAGAACACCCACGCCGAGTTCCTCAAGAAACTGCACAAGGTGTGTATGCATACATACAACACATACACGTACCAATAGAAGGACATTGGTGAATCGAGGGATCATAAACTGATTGATATACATACAGAATGCCCTGTCCCCAAATTTTACTTTCACGGACAGTTCACATACCACGAATTTGCGAAAGTTTCTCGCTCCACAACATTTTCACATAATTTTCACTGAATGGGTAGTGTGACACTTCACGTGTTGATTGAGGTATGTATTGTTGTGTGTGTCAGATAATGAACAACAGTCTGAGACTATATGCTGACAACCTGATGTGCATGGACCTCTGCTGCTGGTCCAACAGTGAAGCCACACAGCTCCTCGGTTCAGAGGTCGGTCGCCATCCTAGTGTATCATACCACACTGCACGTGCTAGAGATTTTGGTAACGGTGATATTGTGTGAACTTGGGAGCCTTTTGGGGGGAAGTAAATATTTCGTGCATTACAGAGAGTTTCTCCCAGTGGGCTGTGGTTAATTTTAAGTCACTCACGTGAACTAAAATATCATTATATCTTGGGTCTACTGTACTTTTCTTCATGGGCGGATCAAAGGCAGCGTGTTTAATTGATCACAAAACACACCCTCATTTCACGCCAATTCTTGCACACTATTCTCTCTCCTTACTGAGTGGGTCTCCCGTGTAAATGTGTCCTCCCCGACAGATGCTGCACCATCTCCAGAGGAGAAGAGACATGAAGGAGATCTGGGGCTGTCGGCACATGGTGGAGGTCAGATACGGTAGGTCTCCTCCTCATACCCTGCAGCATACAGTGGAGCCACTCTCTCCAACTCTCTACTTAACAGTAACATTGCGTGCAATTTAACAGGTATTACGGATACACACTCGCGTCCATTGGTGTCGGGATTAGAGGGTTACCAGTGTAGTTTAATTTCCTTGTTCGTCACTGCCCCCCCGTCTACTCCTTGTGTCTGTTGCAGGCCTACATCCAAATGGGATTCCATGCCACAAGAAAAAGAACCTCAAGTTTGAGAACATCACCAGAGACGTATGTATTATAATACACACAAATTTGCTAAGAACTATTCACACTCTCTCTTCAATGCTCTCGAACTACACATCCTCTTGTAATGTCTATAATGTACTTGAAAATTTGTCCTTTCGTGTCTATATATCACCTCCTCTGCTTGTTTTGTTCGCCCTCTCTTTTTCCTTCCTCCCTTCATTCTGCCGACCCCCTCTCCCTCCTCCCTCTCCCTCCTCCCGCAGATGTGTCTAAGGATCAACAACATCCACCTGCTCATCTCCATATTCCCTGCCCTGGAAACACACCTCTTCTGCATCACTCGTCAGGAGGTGATGCGACCTGTCACGGCTTTCGGCTACATCTCCAGCGACGTCGGAGACCATCTCAGCCCCCTCCATTATCACCCCACCGTCGCTACCTCTCGGTTACTGGGGGTCGGAGGTCACGCGAGGTCGCAGGTGTCCCGGGACCTGCGGGGGACTCTGACTGGTTCCAGTGATCACAGTCTCATGCCTAGAGGTACACTACATTACAGTACAGTATTATACAGTCTGTGTGTGTGTAAACTTTAGATTTACTATACATAATTCAGTTAAAACACCAAATGTTAAATGCGCCAAAAGGTTCGTTAGAAGTGCACACATGCCTCATTTTGTTACCAGCTCGTAAGCTGTGAATCAAATAATAATGTTACTCCAAACTGAAAAGGAGGCCAAAATCTGATGATGTCTAAATCAAGCCAGAAAATGGTCGGTTGTGAGATGTGTGTGTGATTGTGTGTTGCGTTTGTTGGACACAATGTAGACAGTTCGTTGTCGTGGGGCTACTCCAGTAGAGAGAGAGAGACGGCAGGACCGCCCGAGAAACCCGAGTCTGGGTTTGCCTCTCGGGACTCGGACCAGCTCCTCGACTACCTCCGCAGCATTCAGAAGGCACAGCTCAAGCTCCTCTGCTCCAGAGTACGTGTCTAGGCCAGCTATACATACAGTAGTTTGGGGTAAGAAGGGTGCTGCATCCAATTGCGGTCCAAATGATACCTGAAAAAGGTGGGGCAAACCAGATGGGACTCTTGGAAACCTGTAATAAGGCACACACTATCACTATAGTACTTGATACACATTGCACTGCCAATTTGGCTATTAGCAGTTGAGAGGATTAGCCCAGACTGCCTCTTTTAAAACCAATGGCTAATTTGGCAACCTCGTGTGGGGGACCCCTGGTACTTACTAAGGAGCATAAATGTGTGAATTTTCTCTGGTGATTGTCATATGTAAGCAGCTTAGAATAGGTGCATATGAGCCAGACTGCCTCTTTATAGCCAAATGGCTAGTGTTCCGATACTGTGGAAGGCTCTACTGTAGAAGGTGTGTGAAGTCAGAATGCTTTGTCTATCTCGTTTCTGGTGTGCAGATGAACACGTTCTTCAAGCCGGCCCTGTCACTGCTGCTGGAACTGAATCTCGGGGACACCGGCATCGAGAGGAGGCTCCACCCACTCATCACGTTCCTCACCCGTCACCGCGCGGCGCTGCGCAAATACATCTACCCCGAGTGCTTCGCAACACTCATGAACTACCTCTGGAGCTATATACTGCAGGTGAGCAGAGCTAGCCTTGCGGCATCGTTTGGTATATACTTCACTTTTTGCACCACTACTATAATATATCCAGCTTCAAGTACACTTTTGGCTCTTTGTACCTGTAGTCTTCTAAGGCTACTATTGGCACTGACAATAATTCTGGCTGTATAACATTAGAAGAACCAAGTTGACTGAGGTTTTTTTTGCATTTTCCATTAGGACTTGGAAGAGGAGGCGATAAAACTGAGAGATAGCAAAAAGCCAGTCACCAGCAAGGCTCAGATGCTACTCCAAGCGCTATCAGTGAGAGAGAACTGTGCTGTGTCATGTAATGTGTGCCCAATCTGCATGTTTGTGGATGATGATTACCTATGGATGATGGCCTATCTGTATTTCACAGCATCTGATGGAGTTTGTTCACGATAAGGGTGGAGGTGTTCCACTGCATATACTGACTCCCACCTGTGTAAGTCATGACCCACCTCAACCACTGCTGTTAGAACCCTTCTCTGAGGACTCACCTAACTCGGATACACCTCTTTAATAAGGAAACCTTTCTTTTCCCAAGTATACATATATATACAATAAGGACACCTCACTACATTCTTCTGTTCCTTAATTAGTTTCTGGACTACACTGTATATACTCACATCCACTTATTCACTCCACGCTGTCCTTCTCTCCCTCTCTTCAGGAGTACCTGCTGGCTCTGTTGGATGTGATGACCAGATCCACCGACCAGCTCATCACCATCTTCAACAAACTCAGTGCTCCCGTAAGCCCCTTCCCACTCCCTCTGAACTATTCAACTCTTTTGCACTTTCCTTGTGCTGGTCATCCATTCACACACTTTTGCGCACAATTTTTAAAGGCAAGCAAAGGATCAATTCAACACCCTAAATTGTGTAAGGCAAGGAGTGAAGATTTGTTCCATTATGCCACACACATCATGAGCACCTCACTTCACGTCTTTTCCTCTACTGCTACAGAAATTTGCGATGAGTCGACTGGACCTGTCGCGAACGCCGGTCCAACTGGATCCCGGAGTCATTCACACCCTCCACTCCCAGCTCCACACCTTCAAGAAGTGCTTCAGCGGGAAAGAGTTTGTCGAGCAGCTCCTCAAACTGGGGAGGGAGACGGAAGCCACGAGACAGAACTCCAGCGAGCCGACAACACCGTCCCCCCAGATCGCCTTCCAGCAGCGCTCGCCCAGAACCGGCAACAGACACATCTATAACTCTCCCACCACCAGTGGAGCAAGTCCCAGGATTTTCTACACCGTCCACTACGCCAAGGAGGTCGGACAGTTTCTGCTGAGCGAACTAATCCTGCTTCCTCTTCCGACTCTGAGACAACGGTCGTCTGACTATGACTCCGAGGACGAGGAAGACGAGGAGGGGGAGGAGGAGGTGAGGGAGGGGGACAGCCGGCAGCACGAGTCCAGCTCTATTCAGACACACGAGCGAGTCGTGAGACGAGTGAGCGTAGAAGGAGGAGGACGAGGAGATGGTGTAAACCATCCGAAGACTATTCCCTCCTCAACCGAGAACAGCCCACGACTCCAGCCCTCCTCCAGGAGTACTAGAGCTCCGTTTGATTACCGAATTGACACGCACAACGGGAGTAACCCGGCCTCTCGACTTGCGGCCGTGTTCACCTACTCTCCCCAGTCTCTCTACAAATTTGCCGACGTGGAGGATTTCGAGAGCCGGGCGCTCTATCACAGCCAGATTCTGTCTGCATCGGCTCACCCCCAGGCAGCCGACGGGATGGAGGAGACAACGGCATTTGAGAAGGCGAGGATGGGGCTGCTGTTCCTAGTCTACGACCTCCTTCAGCAGAGGACCAGGCGGGAAAAGAGGGTGAAACAGTTCCTGCAGATGCCGGGTGCCCTGACAGTCGCCGATCGACGGAAAAGGCAGTTCGTGGACTGCAATCTCATATTCAAGATGTGATTTATGTTGTTGTGTTGACAAAGGATCACTAAATTATTTTTGCGCCAGATGCGGGCCTGCACCTCCGGACGGATCGCGGAGCCTAGGCGCTCTCTGCGCATTACCCACGTGTCATGTTTTTATTTTAGCGGGATGCCGTATCGTTTTAGTAAAGTAAAAGCCCTTGACCCCTTTTCGTGATGGAGACCAGCAGTGTATGATATTTTGCTCGTTTGGCCTGAAAATCGTTGGATGAAGTCACATCTGAGATCTGCTTGGCGTGTGGACGGTCAAAAACTACTAGTGACGCAGGCAGCTGGAGAGACAATACCAAGTTTTTCACACTGCAACGTGAGGTTATTCTGCACCGCTTTCACTACGCACTATATAGTAACGATCACTAGCTGAATCAAAGCACACACGAAGGGAGCTGTCTTGCGTACACAGAGTGTGGGTGAGTAGTAGTGAGTAGAGAGACACGTGGTGGCTGTAATACACGCATGCACGCGCTGTGATATTTACTCCACGCTGTGTAGTGTGCAATGACCCAAGCAGCTTATGATTATAGTTAATGTTCCGCTTCTTTGCACAGGAGATGGCAGTTGCAAAGCCCACTGAAAGCCGGTTGGCGTGCAGCACTCGGCCTCTCTCGATTTCCCTCCAAAAACTGAACCCTGACATGTTCCCTCAGCTTCACACACGCTGTCGGAACCTGACAAAGCTCACCAGGGGTGCCTCGAGCCTCCAAACACAATCCGCTGCCACCGACTCTGGTTTATCAACGCCGGCGGTTCAGAGGAAGAGGACCAGGAGCGCTCCAAAGAGACTCGTGCTGGATTCTGCAGCCGTCAAAGCCGAAATGTTGCAGCCCCGAGCGAGGTTGAAACATGAGCATTGTTCAACTCGCAGAGCTTTGGAAGTTGGAGGGAATGAAGTTGACACGGCGAAGTCGTTGGACAAGCAGCGTAGGAAGCTTCGGCCAAGCCATGCAAGGAAACTGGATAAGCAGCGTAGGAACCTTCGGCCAAGCCATGCGAGGAAACTGGACAAACCGGAAAGTGATAGGGACGTCGCTGAACTGGACCAGCAATGCATAGGCCCAAACAATACAGTGAAACCGGACGAGCAGGATGGACCGGAAAATGAGACTAGACCAGGCGATGCAGTAAAACCTGATGAGCAGGGTAATGGGAGTGGCCGAGGTGACCGAGAGTGTTCGGAAGCTCCAACTGCTGAGCAGCCACACCCCACCGCTGAGTCTCTTCCACCGGGACAAGTTGGTGGGGAGAAGACTAGCCGCAAAACTGAGCGCATGAGAGTTGTTGTACGTTGTCGCTCCCCTCCCAACACACGTCAGTCCACGGTCGCCGGTCGCGTTCGGAGACAATCCAGAAAATGTGGACCCGCCGCCGCACACATAGCTGCCGTAAGAAGAGTGAGAATCAAGAACAGTAGTTCTGCGGTTGTTAAAGGTAGGAAGAGGAAGAGGGTGATGAGCGTTTCGTTTCTCAGCGGATCGGACGTCGGGAGTGAGGCCGAGGGTGCTCGGACGAGAGAGGCGGGAGAGGGAAGACGGAAGGTGGGTAGGCCACCACTGAAAAAGAAGAGGAGACTTAGCAGCAGTGCAGAAGAGGTGCGTACGTATTTAGTGTACACGTCAGAAACGATGCACGATTTATGTTAACTCTGCAGACAAGTGGGGAAGGACCAACAGAGGCCAGTGGCCACATGGTGCAGGAGACAGTTCCAGAGGTGGGCCTGAAATAGGGACACTGTTTAACAACCTTGGATGTGCATTTCCCAAGTATAATTAGAGCCACTGTATACAGTAGATTATGTCATTATGTCAAAGTGTACAAAACAGCTGTTTAGCAGAATTATGATAGTGATACTTAAAAGTGGTTCATCTATACGTTGTGAATGTGAAAGAAATTTCCGATTTACGTGAGTTTTTAACCTGAAATAGTTGGCAAATGAGATGAGCTTTTGTTTGGTTCTGCGATTTTTGTATCACTGCACTGCTATGTTGTCAAACTCGACACTGTGCAGGGGTGAAAATTATGTCAACGGTTTATCATGCTCTGTGGACTTGTGCACGCTTCCTCACCAACAATGTGTTGCATTGTCCTCGTAGTGTCCCCCTTTTTTAAGAGTATGTAACATAATAGTTTTATGGGTCTTCAAATTCTTCCCACCAGAGTCTAACAGTGTCAGCTCCCTCACATCCCAGACGTGGTGGTGCAAGAGGAGAAGAAGGGTGGACGTGTACGTCCGATGAAGACGACCTTGCCGTCAGCAAGAGGCTGGAAGAGCTCCAGAGGGAGAGAGGAGGGGATGTTTTCGTGAGCGAGATCGGAGAGAGGGTCGAGGTACTCCCGCTGACGTGCTCGGCTCCGAATCAAATCGTGTACATCTACCAGACGAACGTGGAGGGAGACGTCAGTACTGGAGGTGTGATGGAGGGCAGTGGGGGAGAGGGAGGAGGAGGAGGGAGTGGGTGTATCAACGTGGCCAATCTGGAAATCAATCCCAGCTCCATCATAACCGACTACGAGTGTGCGACTCAGCCAGAAGTGGACAGCAAAACTGAGCTGTTTGAGAGTGAATCAAACAGAGTTAGTGTTTGTATTGAGAAGCACCTGCAGACAGGCGGTTGTAGGCTGCAGTTTGGAGCAGGTCGCCCCCGCCACCAGACAACCACCCAACCTAGGAGGAGTCGAGCTGCGGTGTTGCCGTCAACAAGTGACTCTTCTCCCGACGAGAAGACGATGCAAAGGCTGCCGCGGTCCAGGAAGGTGAGAGAGACCGGCGAACAGAAACCAAAGAGACAAAGGGGTCGACCGAGGAAATCGAGCTCGGACCGTGGTGGAGCCCGCGAGAGGCGGAGAAAGTCAGGTTCAGAGTGTAATGCACCTCGTGGGAGAGGAGTGAAGTTGGTCTCGGAACCAAAGAGGCCTCGCGGGAGACCGAGGAAGAAGGGCGGAGGAAAACCCAGCTCTCTTCCTGTCAGGAGGGACAGCGGCAGTCCTCCGCAGGGCTCCCCACAGAATGGAGAAGGTGAGGAACTTTGTAGTAGCAGATATTCACGTAGCGTTTGATTTAAAGAACTTGCTCTCTGTGCAAGAGGCCACAATACGCATAAGATGCGAATCCCCATGTTTTGGTTTTGTTAGCGTTAATAAGAGTCACCTGCCCTTCCAGTATGGCCAGAAGTCTGTGGAGTAGGGGTGTATGTCACATGTTGTGTGATGTTATGTGTGGGTGTGTGCAGTGAAGGGTTGTGAACGGTACATCTCCTGGTTTCCCTGCAGACTCTGGCTACCCTTGCTCCATCTCCAGCTCCAGTTCTCAGGGACCAAAGAGTCTCAAGTCACCCCCAGACGTCAGCCCTTCCTTCAACTTCCCAGCCTATTTCACCTCAACTTCCACTGTAGCTGACAAGAACGAAGCCCCTCATCTTCCTCCTCCCTCGTCCTCTCGCCCTCCTCCGGTGTTGGAGCAGCAGTGTAGAGGCTCCATCAACACCGCAGAGCTCGGGCTCTTCTCCCCCGATGTCGTGGACGACGCCCACATCGCCAATTTCCCCATGCCCCCCGACCCCGAGTGGGTATGGTCTGCAATGGGTGTCGTCAGGGTGGACCCGACGGGGGCGGAGTCTGATGGGTTGCTAGGACACCACCACTACGGCGGCGGTGGGCTGGATTCTGCATCCGAGACTACGACACAGTCTCTCTTCGACCCGAGCAAGATGGTCATCGCGAAGGTTGAGTCACTGAGCGACGACAGTCGGTTCAACGACTACCTGAACGAGATTCTGGGTTCGGAGGAAGTGATGGAATGTCTCAACAGCATCAGCGTTGAGCCATTCCCGGTTGTCCCTATGGAACCTAAACAGATTGGGCTGGCCCCTACCAAGGAGGTCTCCTCTGGATCTCAGGTCACTGTGCTAGCAGCCAGCGGTGGTGCCGATGACAAGGGGGTGGAGTCAGCAGTTGTTACTGTCACTACCTCTTCCACTGCTGTCATTGAATCCTCCCAACCAACCGCGGTGCCTCCTGTGTCTGCTGGTGTATGTACTAGTGGCTCAATTCAGTCTTCCTCGGAAACTGTCGCGGCATATGTGGCGGCTGAGACCAGCGTCATACCGTTCTCCGTAGGCGACTGCTTCACAGCACCGGAAGTCAATGTCGTGACCGCTGCTGCTGAGGCAGTTGCACCACTTGCCAGCTTGGCCCAGGAAATCCTGCCGACTAGGCCTAAGCTGATAACCAATGTGCCCTCGACGTTGGCTTCACTCCGGTGCGGCGATCTCGCTCCCAAGAGCAACGTGATGTGGTCCCAGAGTGGTGCTGTGGAGGAGCCTAGTCTGAAGCCGCCGGAGACTAGTGAAACGCCACCACTTGAGATCCAACATAAATCCACTTCAGGCAGTCCAGTTTGTGAGTCAAGCGGTGAAGTGCTCCAGGGCACAGTACACCAGCACCTCGCCCAGTCAACCCCAGTTGTTCCTACAGCCACCAGAACTGCCAGCAACTCTGGCGAGAGCGTTGCTCCTCCTCTACAGCCTCCTGCTGAACCTTTGCAAGAAAAGAAGCAGATCGTTCGCATCAAGAGAAGAAAGGTGGTCAAAACTGCGCCAGAGTCAGACAAGAACGAAGGGAAGGTAGTGAAAACGGCTAGTGAGTCGAGCATGAGCAGTGGAGAGGCAGGGGAAGCAGCAGCCAGTCTGAAAGAGGGAGGGAGAGGTCTCGACAAGAAGGATGAGGTGTCCAAGCCACAGGAGGTGAAGAGCAGGACTGGCAGAGCCATCAAACCCTCGTGGAAGGTGGCACAGCAGGCATCCTCTACTCAGGGCCTGAAATGTACAAATTCTCCGAGTACGAAAGCCTCAGTGCTGCCAACCAACTCCAACGGGGAGGGAGGGGATGATGTACGGGCTGGTGACAGAGTTGGAAAGGTCGTCAAGAAAGGAAGGCCACGGATAGTCAAAACATCAACAGCGAAGAAAAGTTCTGCCACTTCATCGCTGTCCCTGGCAGACGTGGTTGGAGGGTGGACTGAAGAAGCTTCCGGATCTCCCGACCAACACTCTGGTTAGCCCAAATCCCACCATCTCACTCCCTACCACCTCCGGCACACTCTCAATGTCGCTGGACGACATCCTGCGACAGATGAACGACGACGAATCTCAGGGAGTTTCCGTGCCTGCTGCTGGGTCACTACTCCCCAGTACAGGCGGTGCCGGTCCTGCTATTAATGACGGTGAGGATGGTGAAGAGAGAGAGACTGAGGTGCCACTAAAAGAAGAGGAGCGATCAGAGAGAGGAGCGAGTCGAATCCTGGTCAAGCCGGCGATTGAGTTCCCCAGCCCGATCCGGTGGACCGAGGACGATAGCACGTCTCCCGTTCCTCAGACAGCTGCACAACATCGTGAGCCAGGAATCACTTCTGAGGCGTCTGGAGTCGGCTCCAACCCAATGCCGCCACCACCTTCTGCTAGGGATATCCATCTCCAGATGCGGGGTAAGACAGCAGAGACCGCAGGACCGAGATCTCCCGACTACATAAAGCGACCCTTGAACCCCTTCATGTTGCATAAGATTGACCGGCTGGGTCCAACTGGGGTCGATGATAGTCCTCGTCTCTCGGGAGTGACTCTGCCCAACTTACTTGTAGAGCCCGACGAAGAAGATGACTGCTGTGCCGTAATGATGGACCTCAGCTCCTCGGGGGACGAGGCGGAGCCTATGCCTCGTACACCATCAGCTCTCCTCCGGAAGAGTGCAGGGAACTCCTGTCATTATCGGGCCTTCGCACACCGTCCCACACTCCTCCTGAAGCGAGCGGCGAGACGCTAGACGAAGGAGCACAAGAGGAGGACCGGATTGATATATTTGCAGACGATGTCGATGCATTCACAGTCTACACCATGGAAGAGAAGGCCAAGAACGCCACACCTCCTCGGATGCCATCTCCACCCAGTGAGTTTCATAACACTATCTCTGACGGTTACTGGTGAGAAAAAATTTTTAAGGACTGTCCACAATATTTGTTGACAATGACCGCAATCTACCAAAGTTTTCATTGTCAAATTCCTTTCTACCTATGTATAAGTTTGACTTCCATCCAAGTAATTTTTCATGTCATTGTGGTGCTGTGCTGTGTATATTGTAGTGTTATATATTTGTGGTGTGTCTGTGCACAGTTTCAGTGGTGTATATTTTTGCAGGGATCACATCTCCAAGACCCAAGTTTCCCACAAAGCCGTCGGTGAGGAATTGGGTGCGGAGTCAGAATTCTGTGCGAAGGATCTCCACTGACTCTCACCGGCAGGAGAACCACTTATCGTTCCCCTTAACTCCCACCGTCCCCTCGCACCATCTTCAGCGGTCCTTCTCAGCTACTCCCCTCCCTCCCTCCTTCCCCCGTCCTCCTCTGTTCCCCCCACAGCACCCCCACCACCACCACCAGCCGCAACCCCTTTTCCCTGCTCATATTATTACTCCCGGTTGCGACGCCAGCTTCCACAGACGCCAGGGGCGCACCTCCTCCTGTTCCTCCTCCTCGCCGGCAACCATTCAGCCTCTCTTCCTTCCCTCGAAGCCATGCTGGTCGTTTCTGAGGGGCCACTGCAGCTTTAACCCCTGCAAGTTCAGCCACGCCCCCCTCAGCAGCTATCCCCTGCCACAACTTGAGAGTATACTGGTTAGTCCAGCTTTGCTCGTTCTCTTTACACGTTTCTTCACACTTTCTCGTCTTAAATGTACTGTACATCTGCATGTGATTGCATTATGTATGTACGTATCATGTGTGTATGTTGTCTTTCAGATGCGTCTGCCACCAGATGCAGTTCCAGTGGACGTCAGTGAACACTACGTCACGAGGGCAACTGCCAAGCCTCAGAACTGGTTCCCACAACTCGTCAAACTCGTCAAGGGGCTGACAAACAGGAGCTGGGGTACGTACTGTATTCTCTGTGGTACAGTACACTCTCTACTGGGCGGTATGGACTCTAATTAATCACACGCGAGGTGGGAAAGCTCTCTTTTGAACTTTTTGCTTTGTGTTCTCTCGTTCTCTCTCTCTTGATTCTCTCCTCCATTACACTCGGGTGGGCGCCACAGATACAGCCATGCAGGCCTATTCTACGCTGGTAGGGAACGGCGTCCTACTGAGGCCTCAGGTCCTGTCTCGTCTCCTGGGCCTAATGAGGGAGCAGACCCAGCCGATGCTGAGTGCCTTCGTCCCTCTGCCCCAGCTGGCCCGCGGGATTCTGCAGGAGATCCGAGACCAGGGGCCCTGTAACTTGGAGGACTATCACACAGTGCTGCGGATCCTCAACACTGCTCAGCAACCTGTCCAGTGAGTGTACACACCTTAGGCTGATGGCTATTAGGAAACTCCTGCCATTATAAGTGGCAGACCGAGGAATAAATTGAACGATATCGGAAACGTTTTTTGACGCATACTGTATTTATACCCCGTCCACAACTCTCTCTACGTGTTGAGAACTGTACTGTATGACTCTACTTTACGTGAGCACATGTGCTTAAAAACCAGAGTCTATTGTAAGTCCTACATGACAGTAGCACACACATATACTTGCGTGGTGTTGTTGTGTTCAGGCTAATGGAGGTGTACATGTCAATGAGACAGGACGGACTCCAGACGACTCGGGAGATCCTGCACCTGGTCTTGCGAGGAAGCTCCTCCACTGATGAACGGTTAGCACTGGAAGAAAATCTTTCTCTTGAACCCCGAACCGAGTCTCTCTTTCCCAACGTTTTGTTCAGGCTGCTACAGCTGTTGAACGATTCAAAGACCTGTCTCTCGGTCGCAAACGACGTTGCAAGGTAACTCCACTAGTGGGAACTGTATTGTACATTGCTAAGAATGCATGTGTCCAGAGCTCCGCATATTTTTTTCTCTCTTGGCATCACATGGTCTTATATCTTCATGTGTGACTGTACTTCGTAATTATGTAGCACACTTAAAATTTTTATTACTAGAATGAGGTATTTATGATTTTTTTCGGTATTCATCTACCTTCACTCTGTATTATGTGTGTGTGTGTGTGTAGGTCTTTGGTAGTTGTTGGTACAGTCAGTTATAGTACGACCTCACATTCCGTGTCTCTCTGTGTACACACACACATGTCTGTAGGATTGCTAATGGTGTGCTGGAGAAGGTGGGTCCGCAGCTGGTGTCGGGGAATCTCCAGCTGGTCGAGGAGTGGCTGAGTGGTGCCAGTGAAATACTGGACATCATGGGGAAAGAGAGCATCCTAAACTCTTCAGGTTAGCCGACGCACTGCCACACGTTACAGCTTTGGTAAAATGATGTTCAAGTTGGCCGCCGACTCACTACCACACATTTTTATAGCCTATGTTCAACTCTTAACCAAACTCTTAAACTGCTGTTAAAGTTGGCCGTTTTTCGATAAAGAGGCTCATTTCTCATAAGCATTCATTCCTTCCTCCTCTCTCTCCCTTCCCTCTCCTCTCCTGCCCTCTCCTCTCTCTCCCTGACGGAGCAGTGTGTTAGTGTCGGGTCAGCGTTGGTCGAGCCTCCTGACGATGCTGGAGGGGAGTCCCAAGACGGTGTTGGGTCTGGAGTCGCGTGTGTGCTGTCCCACTCTCCGAGATCTTGCTCCGACAGCCGACTCTCTCCAACAGGGCCATCCTCGTCCTGGAGATGATGTCTGACGAAGCCCTCGCCTCCTTCCCTCCTGAAGTACGTATGTATTGTATGCGGTGGAACCCCTCTGATCTGGACACCTATAGGACAGAAAGAGTAGCGAGGTGGCTTTATTTCGAGGGGTTAAATTGTGTGCAAGAACTGTTCAAGCTGTCTTTATTAGCTTACAAGTGTCCTCATTTTTGGGGTGTCCTTAGAAAGGTGTTTCACTTGTATATTGTCACAAGGAGGAAAATATTTACGAAACAAGCAGGTTTGTTCAGACTCAAAACACCCACAACTTGATACCGTGCAGTTATGCATCTACCGGGTGAGAGGTTTGACTGTCTCTTTCCACTGGTTGTAGGGATGGAATGCGGTGCTCGCACAGTGTGTCCTGCCTGCCACCCCTCAGAGGACGGCCAAGTTCTGTAGAGTTGTCTCTCACAGCAAAAAGTGTCTCGATCAAGAGGTATACTGCACCTCCAGATGACCACAGATTATATCATGCCCGTTTATGTGTTCCGTACCGTTGTGTGTTGTTGAGCATGCACGTGTGTGTGAACATCACGTACGGCGATTCAAAGACCACTTCACTCTCCGAAAAAGTGTTGGATTCTTGCTACAGTACCGTTCTCTGTTGTGTGCTGCACTCATGTCTATTCACAGGCTCTGGATGCAGTGTTGGAGATGTCGGTGAGCCAGGACCTGTCGTCTGCAGCCACAGAGATCGTAGCCAATCATCTCCATTTCGTCCCTCCCGTCGTCCCCTCGCAGGACATCCTCGGGAAGCTCTGCTCACTGCTACACCAGGAGGGACAGCACCAGAACCTGTTCACCATCGTCGAGAGACTGCTACAGTGCAGAGTGGCGGTACGCCTCTACTTACATGTACTAGTCTATTATATATATATATATATGTGCATTTGGCCGTTTTTTATCGCATTAGCTACAACGAAAGCTAGGCTAAACACACTGATTATTGCATAGTTCTCATTTTGAATCGAATTGCAGAAAGTGTGTTCTCCCTCTAGAGTTTCACGCTATATCTACGTTCTGTTCCTTTATGTCTCTGCCCTGCAGCCTTCGCCACCCATCCTCCAGTCTTTTCTCGACTCGTGCAGAAAGGAGGGATCCTACGGCCAACTGGCCGCGGTGGTCAAGAGAGCCCGGGAGTGGGGACTCCGGCTGGAGAAGATATTCTACCAGCGGGCGCTCGTCCTGCTGAGACCCTGGGGCCAGGACCAGGCGGCCATCTCGGACATCTACAAGGCAATCAGGGCCATTGATACAGGGTGTTCCTCATTCTCCCCCTTCTCTGTGAGTCAACCTAAGTCTTCAGTTAATGCCTCTGTGACCGACGTATGAACACATTATATGCTCCACCTTTTGCTTCTATCTCCTCTATTAGTGACCTGTATAACAGACTTGTGTACATGTGCGTGAATCTTTGCATGTGGGTTACAGTGTATGGTTGTGTGGATCTCTACCTACAGAAGTCAGTGTCGTCGGGAGCACCAGGTGTCATGGGAACGTCTCAAGGCCCCAGTGACTTTGGTGGGAGGGGCACACCGGCCAGTCAGGGGTCCAGGTCTTCTGGTGGACCCACTTCATCCAGTGGCAGGTCGGGCAAGTCCTCCACCAAGTCACTCGAGTACATCTACGAACAGACCACCGAACCCTCACCTGCAGTTAAACCCGGCATCATAGCACTACTGGAGGTATGTATAGGAATTAACAGGGCTTACGTGGAGATCTTTCTGGGAGTAAATCGAGTATTTGAGAAATGTAGAGATGCTGAAATTAACATTTTCTTGCAATATTTTCACTTAGTTGTTGATTTAAACCCTAGTTCAGCAGGTCAAAGACACTTATTTGCCCCCCTCAAGGAAAGTCTGTCAGTTTGAGGCTGATATAATAATACATGTTTCCCCCCACTGCAGAGTAACGGGAGACAGGGGCAGTTTGGAGCTGCAGTCTCTATACTGCGAAACCTTTGCGACGCCTCGAGCTCTGCCTACAGCAACACCGTCGTCCATGCTGTGTGGAGTTCCGTCACCAATTCCGACCAGAAACCACCTAATGCCTTCTCCAGCCTCCTGGAGCATCTGGCTGGACCACCCTCCAGCTCTGGGTCCTCCGGCTCTCTCCCTCCCTGCGACAGCTGGCTGGCATCGCAGCTCGGAATCGCTCTCCTGAAGATGTACGCCGAGACGGAACACTGGCAGAGCGGATTTGTCATGCTCCACCACCTCCACCGACACAAGATCGACTACTTTGCCCATCGGACGCCGTTTGCTCCCCTCCCTCCGCTGAAACCTCCGCAGCCGTCTCTGCTCGGCCTTGCGAGGATGGCCATCAACACTTGCCTCAGAGTCGACAGTCCTGACTTTGCCGTTCAGGTCATGAAGGGCTGCCGGTGGGCGAGCGAGTGTGGTCCCAGCGAGAGGCAAGCCAGGGAGCAGTTGGTGGTGACAGTGGCCCAGAGGTGTCTGAACTCAGCTCTCTACGAGGACTGTTACAGCTGTCTTCGGGCGCTGGACAGCGTCTCGACTAAGAACAAGCGGTTCACGTCGGTGGCTCAGCTGTACAACCGACTCCTCGCGAGCGCCCTAGGCCGGAGCAAGGCAGACGTCGATCTCGGTACCCGTGTCTACCGAACCATGAATTCCAGCAATTTCCCGTGCCTCCCGAGCAACCTCAGTCTCCTCACTGCGAAACTCTGCGACCTACTCCAGTTCTCGACTGCACGGGATCTCTGCGAGCAGGCAATAGACCAGAACTTTTACGCCCCGATAACTCACGGCGAGCCGTTCTCAGTGTTTCTTCCTCCGTCCATCCATCACGTCGAGGTGTGCTCCCTCCTCAAACGCCATTTGCATCGCCTCAGTGGCGAGTTGGAGGGAAAATTACTACAGCCCCTAACAATCACTTTTGAAGGTATGTATGTCTAAACTATCTTCTTCTCCCTCTCTCTCTTCTCCCCCTCTCTCTTCTTCTCCCTCTCTCTCTTCTTCTCCCTCTCTCTCTCTTCTTCTCCCCCTCTCTCTTCTTCTCCCTCTCTCTTCTTCTACCTCCTGTGTTGATATAAGTATATACAGCATATCTTTTCTGAGCTCCATCATAGAGCATGTCCCTACAACTCTCTACCATACGCCCTCCATCTCTCCCTCACTGGTCTTTTCTCAGGGTCACGAAGCCATGTTGAGGAGGGGCTCAACAAGGGCCTGACTCCACCCCTTGCCCCAGTCTTCACGAGTAGTAGTGACTCCACCACTGTGGCCACTGTCTCTCCTTCTGCCCTCTTCACCTGGCTACACGCCCACTTCCCCAGTAGCCATTTCCTGCTAGAGAGAGACTTACAGCCGCGGAGAGGGAACCGTGTGACCAGGAAGGTACGCAGGGGAGAGATTCAAGGGAGTCTAGGAGAGGCTCTGGAAAGAGAGGGACAGAGCACTGGGAGCCAGGGAGGACCGTCTACAGCTACAGCTTCGACGACAGAAGAGAGGGGAGAGCCTGAGCCGCCAGCAAATAACAATTTGGACCACGCAGTGCCTAAACAGCCTGCTTTGGTACGTACATAACTTATGCTCTTAGATGTTGCTATAAGGTATAAGTACACCCTGCATTCATGGCTCCACAGACTGCTGCACGGTCCAAGCAGCGCTTTAGGGTGGAGCTGTGTCGTTTGGTCGTCGCCGAAGTTAAGCCTTTCTACAAAGCCAAGAGGTTCAACTCATATGTGAGTGTATTTGTAACCAGTCTTTTGTTACACCTGTATTCACTCGTGTTTTCTGCGTCGTGTATATATAGGAAGACTACCTGCATTTGGTGAAGAGACTCACCACGCACTTGTCCAAGACCACCAGAACCTCGATATCGAACGATTCAGCAAAGTCGACGCTGGATGACGACACTAGGAGGATTGTGAAAGATCTCGTGCAGAGCGTCATGTCACAGTGCACAGTATATAGCCCCGAATCCAAACTACAGTTAGAGTCCTGATACAGAATATTATTGTGTATATACAATGTGTGTGATCTAACCGACTGTTTTATAGTGTTTTGCATACCGTCGTTGTGCTTTTTGTTGTTCATGCTTTTCATGCCGTCATCCATTCATTCAGTTCCACCAATCAATTAGCATGTATCCTTCTGTTGTGATCTTCCCCCCAAACATCACTTATACGCTCATGTCATTATGTAAACGATTACGTTATGCGCATGCGTGTGCTAGGAGAAGGGGGCGTTGTACGCGTAGCTCGAATGTGGGGATGTCGGATTCCGAGGAGGAGGCGACACGGAGTGGTCGGCTTCTGAAGGTGGTCCTTCTCGGGGACGGCACGGCTGGGAAGACGTCCATCGCCACCAGGTTCTCGCAGAACCACTTCGGCAAGACGTACCAGCAGACCGTCGGTTTGGACTTCTTCCTGAAGCGAATCACTTTACCTGGTATAGCTACGCCAGACTGGCTATAGCTACAGCTAGCTAACCGTATCCAGCAGCGCAGTATATACAGCGTTGTAAAGCAAATAATCATGACGGATGTAGTACTGCAACACTGTGTTATGCTTGGTTGCAGGTGGTGCAAGCGTGGGTCTACAGGTATGGGACATCGGCGGGCAGTCACTGGGAGGGAAAATGCTGGAGAACTACATATACGGCTGCAACGTAAGGCAAACTTCCTGGGTAATGAGGACCTGCAATCTACATCGATACTCTCTCTTCTGCAGGTGGTGATGTTTGTGTACGACATCACCAACTACTCCAGTTTTGAGAACCTCGACGATTGGCTGGCCATCGTCAAGAGAGAATGCTCCAAGGCAGATACCAGACCACCACACTTTGCTCTCGTTGCAAACAAAAGTGAGTGGAAACAAAAGGAAGTTTAGCAGGTTAGCTATTTCTATGTCAAACAGCTGATCTGGAACACATGAGGACTGTACGCAAAGAAAAGCACACAAAATATGCTCAGCAACACCAAATGTCCAGGTAAGGCATCATTCATATTTTAGTATGGTATATACAGTATTTTTTCTCTTTTTTTAGTCATTTTGTCTCATCCAAGACAAATGATATGATCAATGCCTGCTTCCTGAAAGTTGCAGCAGAAGTCATGAAGGTGAAGCTGACACCAGCTGACATTCAGAGAGTGACCGTATCCCCTCACATCTATTTGTCTAAACTGCATGCATTGAGAAATCAAGGTCTGTTTTTCCCTAACTGGCAATTGTCGTTGCAGACTGTAGTAAAGGCGGAGCTCACTGTTGCAAAGGGCAGCTCTCCTGACTCACAAGAACCTGACAAGAAGCATAAAAACAAAGTCAAAACCTCCAGCTCTGTGTGTTCTGTTCAATAATCCCTTCCATACACAAACTACGATATTATACGCGCGTTAGTGAGCAGATGTAAAGCGCATGCGCATTAGGTTGGAGAGCACGTTATATTTCGCGTGGTGTGAGCAGAGTGAGCGGTTGAGCTGCCGTACCAGTGTGCTCAAGCAGGGGTTTATAGGTGGTAGATTCTCTTGAGAGCAGCCCACCAAGATGCCTATGTACTTTCAGAAGACGGAGAACGCTCTCAAACGAGCGAGAGGTGACCGGTAGATACGCGCACGTGCAACTTCCATTTAGAGCCCGCTGCCTCTCTCTCTCCTCTATCTCTATCGTTTCAGAGTTCATCGAGGTGGACAAGAAGGAGTCGGGCCTCGAGTGTCTGAACGACGTCATCCACAGCAAGAAGCACCGGCAGACATGGACGACGACGCACGAGCACATCATGAAGTTGTTCGTGGAGTTGTGCGTGGACCTCCAGCGCAGCGCCTTCGCCAAGGACGGGCTCTACCAGTACCGTAACATCTGCAGGGAAGTCAGCCTCCACTCCTTCGAAGTCGTGAGTCCGTTGCCGCAGCTTTTCGGTAACCGCACTAAATTTTACGGTTTGCCTTACGTTATATATAGTTCAGTAGTTGTATTCCAATGCAGTTATGATGGTTTTTACTGATGTTCTAAGGTGGTGAAGCATTTCCTGAAGCTGGCCAGCGACAGAGCCGATGCAGCCAGGGAGGAGTCGGAGCAAGCCGTGCTGCACGAGGTGGAGGACCTCGACGTGATCATGACACCCGAAAAGTCAGTATAATATACCCGGCTCGTTCACAATCATCATTCATTGGCTTTATACTAGTAGACTTTTCTGTTTGTATAAATATGCCAGACCTGTGCTTCATGAATATGCATACATAATCATGTGGCAGACCAACGCCATTTTCTCTTCTCCGTGCCAAGTTACAGTACGTTTGGCTCTTCGTGCATATTGCACACTTTGTGCGTTACATTCTGCGTGGTAGCTTCTCTAACTCTCTTCTTGATCTCTCTGTTCCCATGTGTGTGTCCGTGTTCTCCCTGCAGCCTGCTGCTGAGTACAGTGAGCGGGGAGGGGGTGAAGGAGCGGTCGGACCGGGTGCTCCTGGCTCCCTGGGTCAAGTTCCTCTGGGAGTCCTACCGCAACATGCTTGAGCTTCTCAAGAACAACAACACCATTGAGAGACTGTATGCCGAGGTCGCCAAAGAAGGTGTGTGAAATATGCGTATATGACTATGACAGTTAAACTCCTAAAAAAATGGACACCTATCTATAAGGACACTTAATTCTGCCACTTATTACTTGAAAAATGGGAGACGCTATCTGGAAAAAGTACACTGGTGTCTCTTATTGAGAGTTTTCACGGGTATATTATAATACAACTGGTGCCTTTGATGGTGTAGCGTTCAAGTTTTGCCTCAAGTACCAGCGGAGAACCGAGTTCAGGAAGCTCTGTGAGATAGTAAGTCGCGACAGTATCACTGTACCGGTTGTTATGTCACTCCTTCCCTCTGCTGTGCAGCTCAAGAACCACTTGACTCAGGCACAGAAGTACCAGTCGCAGAGCCACTCGCTGCGATTCGAAAATCCCGAAACCATCCAGTATCTCGTCGACGTCCGCTTCGAGCAACTCGAATGCTCCATCAGCATCGACCTCTGGCAGGTAAACCGTTTGAAACCCCTCACACAAATGGAACTGCAGCTTGCCGAACTTTGTACGCCGTGATCTGCTCTCGTTGGCTCATTTCAGGAAGCCTTCAAGGCCATAGAAGAGATCCACAACCTCCTGGAGCTGAGCGGGAAGGCACCGAGACCGGGGCTGCTTGATAACTACTATTCGCGGCAGGCCAAGGTGTACTGGATGGCCAACAACAGACTGTTCCATGCCGCGGCGCTCCACAAACTCTTTGTCCTGTGGAAGGAGCAGAAGAAGAGTGTCAGTCAGGAAGAACTGCAGAGGTTTGTGGTTTGTTAGAGAAGGAGGAGGAGGGGGGGGAGATGGGTAAAGTTGAGTGTTGGCAAGTGATGGTAGTCTCGTTCGGCTGATCCACCTCAATATTGATGACAATACTCTCTCATCACCCATAATCTGATGCCCTCACTCACTCGCATTGACTCTGTACAAAAACTGTTGTACTGAACCCCTTGCACCTTTTCCTACTCTACTCTTTCACTTACCCCCTTCCTTCCGTTGCCTACCTCACTTCCTCTTCTACCGTCTCTTTTCCCTCCCTCCCTCCCTCCCTTCTCTCTCCCCTCAGGATTGCCTCGCGTGTACTGCTGGCTACGCTCTGTGTTCCCATAAAGCCCACCCCCAGCGACGTGGACAGGTTTCTGGAGGTGGACCAGGCCAACAGAGAAAAGGCCCGCCGACTCGCAGCCCTCCTTCGCATGACCTCTCTCCCCACACGAGCCTCTCTCCTCAGAGACGTTGTGAGTCAAACCACTCGTGAAACAGTCTGCAGATTGTAGAGCAGAGGGGGTTTGGTAGATTACTTGGCAAGTGAAGCGAGCCCCCAGTAGTTGTCTAAACTGGCAGTTTTTTTGTGTGTATATGGTTCTTTACCTAATTCAAGTATGCATAAAGTGCTCACTGCTTCGTCTCTTGCCTCTTGTCCCATCTCTCGCTGGTCCCAGGGTCGCCACAGTGTACTCCAGCACACCCCACCGGAGCTCCAGCTCCTCTACACCTGTCTGGAGGTGGAGTTTAACCCTCTCCAGCTCTGCAGGAAGGTCTCGCCCGTCCTGGACGGACTGGCCGACGACGAGATTCTCTCTCAGTACGTGGAGCCAACCAGGGAGGTCCTGCTTGTCAGACTCATCAAAGAGGTGAGTTGTCGTAATTCCTCTTCGATAGTTTTAGCTCTGCCTCCCTCACTTTTATCTCCTCGCACCTCATGTTCCTCCCTCTCTCTCTCTCTAAGGTGTCCCAAGTGTACGAGACAGTAAAGCTGGACTGGCTGACAAACCTCGTTCCGTTCACAACCTCCACACATCTGGAGACGGTGGTCATCGAGACAGCTCACAGCAATGGAATACAGGTGACTCCGCGGTATATGTGTGTATTTTTAAAGTGTGAAAGGCAACCTATAAAAGATCTGTACTATTGGAAAAGGACTTTGTAAATTTCTTGATGTTAGTTTGTGTACTGTGCGTTGTGTTGTGAGGGGAAGTGTGTGTGTGTGGCAAGTGATGGTAGTCTCGTTCGGCTGATCCACCTCAATATTGATGACAATACTCTCTCATCACCCATAATCTGATGCTGCACACCCAGTTCATGAGGTGTTGGTGTTACTGTGAACAATTCCCACATAATAGCTGTGCACGGAGCACGCATCTCCTCTCCTTTTCCTCCTCTTGTCTCTTCTTCCTTCGTCTCTCTCCCCCCTTCATGGTAGGTCCATATCGACCACCGGACCAACTGTCTCAGGTTTGGTAGCGACATGAGTTTCTCCTACAAGAATGAGAGCCCGGAAGGCCCTTATGTACAGGTATGTACTGTATGTACGTAACGTAGCAGTGGTCACCCTGATGTGTGTGTGTGTGTGTGTCAATGCAGCCAATGCCGTCGGAGGCTCTGTGCTGCCAGCTACAGATGTTCTCCGCTGCACTCCAACAGGCCGTTCAGATCATCACAACCAAAGAGTCTGAGGTGACCCTCACTTACTGTAGAACAGTCTCTTAGCGTATGTTTCATTTACCATTCTACCCTCCTTTTCTTGAGTGAGCCACTGGTACCCACCAACTACCAGAATTGTGTGTTCCACTGTTAGATATGTATATATACCTTATGCATGTCTTTTCATACTTTCATACTTTCCCTCATTTTTCTTTCCCACTCCTCACAAGCTCACTCTCTTCCAATTCCCCTCTTTCCTCCTTCCCAGAGGGAGCAAGCGGAGACAATGCGAGAGCTGTCTCAGTCGTACTTGGACCACGCGCGCGTCGAACACCGCAACGTTCTTGCCAGGAAGCAGCTGATTGAGGCTCGCAAGGAGTACATTGAGAGCCAGAGCAGAGCTAAGGTATGGATGGACTTTATACAGTTTCTGTGGAAGGGAAGGGAGGAAGGGAGGAGGGTAAGAGGCACCAGTGGACATTGTATGGTGTCACTAGAGAAAGTGCAACTATATATAAGTAGTAAAGAGTTTCCCTGAATGGCACTGCAACTTTTAAGAGCATAATATTAAAGAAAAGAGTCCCTGTGAGACACTGAAAATAGTATTATGCCACTTCTCAACACATTACTTTGCACACTTTAAGCAAAACTCTGGTGCATTTGGGCATCTTATGGACCACCATTTTTATTTAGTTATATACCCACGTTCTTACTCTAATTTTATACCCTCCCCGTATCTCGTGTGACTGAAGGAGCACAAGGAGAATGCGGAGAAGAGGCAGAAGGAGGAGCAGGAGAGGAAGGCCGAACTGGAGCGCCTGGAGAGAGAGGCCGAGGAGAGGGCAGAGTCCAAAAAGAAGAAGAGATAGCCGAGAGGAGGAGGATTGAGAGGGAACAGAGGATCGAGTCTCTAAAGAAGACACCTATCGGCATCCGTGCTCTGGAGACCATCACTCAAGAGGTTGATGATAGTGCTCCATGTGTGTTTATACCCTTCCCGGTCACAGTACTTCTATAGCAGGATAAAATATCCATGCTAGTGTAGTTGCATACGCTTATAGGCTTAAAGATGTGCATGTTGGAGACTTGTGTGTGTAGTTTTAAGGACTGCACTTATGGACACTAATGCATGCATTAAGACACGGTAATTATGTTGTGTGTGTGTGTGTGTGTGTGTGTGTTTGCTACGTGTTAGGAGCTGGACAAGATGGACGTGGATTTCATCATGGCCAAGCAGTTGAAGCAGATGGAGAAGGAGTTGAGAGAGAAAGATACCAAACTCAGGACCCAGGAGAAGAAGGCAAGTCTGCCACAACTCTACCCCACACCACCACCCTTGGTTCACACTTGCAACATTCTAATGTCTGTATATACTTCTATGCTTCATTTCTCAGACTAGAACAAATGCAACACGATGCACCTTTTAGTGACATTCAACATGTCTGAACCACAATACTTAATCTTCAGAGATAGGCCAGTTAGGACCGTTTATATATACTGGTAGAAAAGCAATGGGTGTTTTGGTAATATGCGTGTTGCAGATGAGACAAATGACAATGAGGGAACCAATACTGTCCTGTTACTTCATTTAAGACAAAGTTGAGTCACACAGATTTCGTGACTCAAAACCTAGTCTTCAATGAAGGACCAGCCGATACCGTCTGTCTCTGTAGATTGACCACTGGGAGAGGGCCAAGAAACTGGTGGAGATACCTCTGCTGGAGAAACACTACCAGCAGCAGATCGTGGAGGACAAGGCATTTCACGAGCAGCAGGAGGAGGAGCGGGTGTCCACGGAGGTCAGGGAGAGGAAGGAGATGGATGAGAACAGGGAGAGGATGGGTCGCATGGAGTCCAACCGCCGGGAATTCCTGAATGTGGTTCGGAAGGAACGCCAAGAGGCCCACATGGTCAGATTTTTCAAAGTGAAAAACCCACTAAACCCACTCATTGATACTTGTAAATGCACATGGATTACAGAACGCGTTCCTTGCTTGAGCAATCACGAAAATGTGCGGTGGGTTTTTGCTATGTGACGCGCACCAAACTGTGTACTTAGTGTGTATGTTGCATTAAGGCTTGTGTCCTCTTTCTCTTCTCTATCCCTTCACTCCCCACCTCTACCCCCCTCGTCTCCCCACTTCTGTTCTTTGCCTCAGGTGAAGCTGAAGGAGTTTGAAGCCATGGTGGAGGTGGCGCGACAGGAGAGGTTGGAGAGGAGACGAGAGGAGAGGAAGGCCAAGAGAAAGGCCGAAGCAGCTGCTCTCAAGAAGGACGAAGAAGAGAAGGAACGTAAGTCAAGCAAACAACGGAGGCTATTTGACATGCGTGTGTGTGTGTGTGGTGTGTGTAGTGCGGGCAAGGCAGGAAGCACAGAAGGCCAGACAAGAGGAGGAGCGTCGACAGAGGCAGGAGGTGGACGATGCCCAGATGATGACACAGCGACGGCGAGACGAAGAGATCGAGGCAAAGCTTCGGCGTCGCGAGGAGGAGGCCCAGCGAGATAGACAGCAGCCGATGGGGGGAGAGGAGAGGGACTGGAGGTCCGACCAGCAGCAGCAGCAGCAGCAGGGTGGCTGGAGGAAAGAGGAACCAGAGAGACCACCGCCTCAGAGATGGTGAGTGAACCTTAAACTTGTTCACAATACTGACACAAGCCCAAACCATTGTTGATGCAAGGCGCTTTGCATAAGTTTTTGATACACACCTGAAGCAAACTGGCGGATGTTTTGGAGATGTTTAATGGATCGTTGACATTCGCGATCCAAAATGTATTGTGAAGTTTTTACATCTTTGTCTTCTTTTTTTAGGCGTGACACAGAGGAAAAGGGTAGGGAAGATAGTGGGGAATATCCTTCGCTAAGAGCCGGGGCTTACCGTCCTCCGATCAGGAGAGAGGCTGAGGGAGGAGGGTGGCGGGCTCGGGAGGAAGAGCGAGAGAAGGGGCCAGAAGGAGAGGAAGACGGAGAGAGTCCACGAAGGCCTCCGCAGGGAATACTGAAGGGGGAGAGAGGTCGCGGAGAAAGGGAGGCAGAGAGAGAGCGTGGGGTGTCTTGGGAAGATGAACGCAAACCGCAGCCGCCGTCTGTGCAAGAACCAGAGGGTGAAAGAGGGAGGGGAGGAAGGGAGGAGGAAGGAAGAGGGTGGCGGAGGGAGGAAAGAGATAGCTCTCCGAGGATGTATCGGCGAGAGAGAGATGGGGAACGAGAGGAGTGGAGGGGGAGGGGGGATGAGGAGAGAGGGGGAACAGAACGTGGGTATGGTGGACCGAGGAGAGAGAGGGAGCCCGAACGAAGAGGTTGGGGAAGAGAGGCGGGGGAGGGAGATGGTGGGGGCTGGAGACGAGGGGGAGAAGGGAGAGATGCCGATCGTGGAGGTTGGCGAGGAAGGGAAGGTGAATCAGATCGTGGTGGGTGGAGGGGCAGAGACGGAGAGTCTGAGCGAGGTGGAGCGTGGAGGGGAGGAAGAGAAGGAGATTCTGATCGCGAGCGAGGTGGGTGGAGGGGGAGAGAAGGAGATTCCGAGCGTGGTGGAGGAGGGTGGAGGGGGAGAGACGGAGAGTCTGAGCGTGGTGGAGGAGGGTGGAGGGGGAGAGGAGATTCCGAGCGTGGTGGAGGAGGATGGAGGGGTGGAAGGGAAGGTAGGGAAGGTGACTCTGAACGAGGAGGATGGAGAGGGAGAGAGGGAGAATCAGAGCGTGGAGGAGGATGGAGAGGGAGAGAGGGAGAATCAGAGCGTGGAGGAGGTGGAAGGGGAGGGAGGGGGACCAAGATCGCAGCAGTGGCTGGGGGGTGGAGGGGAGGAGGAAGAAGGGAAGGTGGTTATGATCGCGATCGTGCTGGTTGGAGAGGAGGAAGAGAGGACTCCGATCAAGGTGGTGGTGCCTGGCGACACTGACCGGCCAGGTGGAGGAGGAAGTTGGAAGGACAGAGGTACGTATATATGAGGGGCTCCACTCTCACACCACACACACACAGAATACCCAGGACCAACCTCTCTTCTATTTCTTAGACCAAGGTCCTGCACCACGTCGCTATGAAGGAGACCCGGACGAGAGGGGCCCACCGAGACGAGATGACGACAAACCACGCCGGAGGTATATTAGGGACTCTGCAGATTCATGACCCTAACTCTCTGTCTCTGTTACTCTCCAGGGATGAGGGAGGGGAGCGTCGTGGAGATGAAGGCTGGGAGGTGGTGGGCAGGAAACGCTGATTGCATGGAGCCACCCATGGCATTTTTGCCCTCCTTCTGAGAAATGAACTATATTATTAGAATACTGTATAGTTAGGTAGCTGTTATTGTAGTGAGTGAGGATGAATGACCTTTAAAATCGTGTAGCAAGTGTAAAGATGAGAGACTATTACGGAACAACACGCAACAACTGTTGGTGTGATAAATTGGCAGAAACAAGTGTGTTGATGATTAGGTCATAATGATTGATGACTATGATGCTTGCTAGGTGGGGCAATAGGGATGGGGTTGTGAGAGTCCTGCTTGAGTGTGGCTGTTCGGTTGAACACCAGCTGCAGGTTAAGTTCAGAGACAGCATATTAGAAGAGGGAATCAAGTTGTGAACCGGTCCAACCTGATTGTGAGTGGACTCGGAGTCGAGGCAGAAGTAGCCCAGCCTCTCAAACTGCCACTTGTCTAGAGGCTTTGCTCCCTCCACTGATCTATCCACCAGTGCTCCATTCACTATCTGCAGGGAGCTCTGTTATAGAGCATAGGGGAGGGTAGAGAGTGTAGACAATAATCATGGCTGAATTTGCTCTCACTGGGTTGGTGTTGTTTTCATCTTGCTCATCAGCCGTGAACCTAAAGGTAGGTGTTGTAGTCTAATTACAGTGACATATCTGAATTCGGGACACATCAACAATGCCCTTTATCAGAGTCGTCCCTATATATCTGGGTCTTAGAAAAGTGTCCTTTACTCTAAGGAGTTTCACCGTATATACACAGACAGAATTGTTGGTTGGTTGGTTGTGATTGTGGAACGTACAGGTTCTGGTAGAGTCTGACTTGACAGGGGAGTGGGTTGGACAGCCAGTGAATGAAGGCCCGCGGCTTTCTCCCCGTCTCGGACAGCTTCTCCATCACCACGTGTATCTCATCCACCTCACCACTCTCACCCTGCACACACATCACGCAATGCAAAAGTGATTTCTCCACTAACGCCACATGCAACACTGACATCTATGTAAAGGCTTTCTTCATGCGCTCTAAAGTGTGTTGATTAACCACTACATGTACTAAGATCGATGACTCCTAGCTAAAACATGGAGCTTGGAAAGCACCAATTTGATCAATGCAGGTATGAATGCTCAACGTTCATCAGTAAGCCACAGTTCAACGAAACATCAAATATCACTGATCCGACTCAAATGCCCAATCAGACCTTTAGCACTTGCTGGACTGCTATAGTGGAGGAGGTGTACTTGAGGCCCACAGGCTGACTGGGAGTCAGACGTCGGAACCCCCTCTGGCCTCCTTCCTCCATGAAGTCGGAGCGTTCGATGTAGATGAGGGGACCCAGCGGTATGGTGTGATAGCCTCTGGCAGGGTCCTTGGGGAAATCTGGTACCTCCAGTTCTATTGTCTGACAGGGAGAAAGAGAGGTTTAGAGCTCCCTCTAAAAATGCAAAGGGGAGCCTCGGATATTTTTTTGCACTTGGTCGTCTTGGACGCAAAAGAACTATATAGCCAAACTTGAAACCGCATGCTATCACATGAAATATCCCAGACTCCCCCTTGAATTGCAGGGAATGAGGCTTAGTGGGGACAAAGAATATTGTGAGATGGAAAAAAACTCACCTCCGAAGTCAACGGGCAGTTTGTTACAACCACCTTGACTGGGTCCAGAACTGCCATGGCTCTGAGGAAATGAGGGGGTGTGTGTTCAGCGAGGTAGGGGCGGGTGTTGACCCCTGCACCCACCGTGGAGCCGTGTGATTCAGCTCGTCTCTGACGAAAGCCTCCAGCAACTCAGGGTGTATGGCTCCGTCAGTAGTCAACATCACTCCATACTGACGGTGAGTGAAATGGAGAGAGAGGAGATGGGAGGAGAATATAGGGTTGTGGTGGTATGCAAAACCTGTTCACAGAAGTTGTTGATGGCCTCAGGTGGAAAGCCCCTCCTCCTCAGAGCAGTCAGCGTGAACAGCCGAGGATCGTTCCAGTCGCTATAAACAACCAGAGGAAGGTAGTCTCAGCCAAGTGGTTTTAGAAAGGCGTTCATAAGGGGCACCGTGTCCTATAGAACACCTCATGGTACATAGCTAGTGAAACATGGGACACTTGGCTCTGCCCCAGTTAATAGTGTGGGGACACCTCCGAATAAAGGACACTTTCGATGTCTCCAAGGTGTCCCTTATTCAGAGGTTTCAGTGGAGGAGATGACCTGACAGTGCCAGTGTGGATGAGGCTCTGTATCTTCCTCTTGGAGACTGGGGCGTGTTTGACGTTGAGACGACCAAACTCCCACTGTACCGGACAGTACATGTCCAGAGCATTGCACAGCCAGTAGTAAGATGAACGCCTGTATATACATATGTACACAGGGTGTAAATACATAAGGAGAGAGGTTGTTTCTATAGAGAGGTGTCCCTTATTTGGAGGATCCTTATTCGGGTGTTTCACCGTACATACGTACGTACTTCATCTGGAACTCCTTGGTGCAGAAGGAGTGGGTGATGTCCTCCAGAGAGTCGCAGAGACAGTGGGCGTAGTCGTAGGTGGGGTAGATGCACCAGTCAGTCCCGGTCCTGGGGTGGGGGGCAAACCTGACTCTGTAGGCCACTGGGTCCACTTTACTGTCCTCCATCACCATCTTCATCCTCAGTGTTGCCTGTAAAATAAAACCGAGCCACCTAAAATTGAGTGGTTGCCAATAGTGACAGCCACAGGTACGGAGCAGTTAATATTTTTCCTTATTGGCCCTTAACAAATTCTCATGGAAACACTGGATATTGAAGTTTTGGCAAGTTTTACAGGGACCTCATATGCACCATTATACCTCTCCTTCCTTGAATTTTCCTTTCCTCATCTCCTGATAAAACAAAAAGTTTCGGTCGTGAAAAGATCTCAGAGGTGTGTGGGGCTCACCTCAAGGAGATGGAGAGACTCCTCCGCAGGTCTGTCTCTCCAGGGACTGGGGGGAGCGTGGTGACCCCTGACCTCGTGGGGCGGCTGGTGACAGACAAAGGCGAGGGAGGAGGAGACGAGACGTCGTGCCAGCTGGTAGAGCTGGGGGAAGTAGTCCGAGGCAAACGTGACCTTGTCTGGCGTGTGGCCTGTGGGTGAGTGTACACAAGAGGACTTCTGCTGGACACTCAAGAGTGACCTGTCCAGGTCATAGCACCATAATACTAATACATGTGTATGCTTTTTGACTATCGACTGTGCTAACCCACCAAGCCACTGCACCATCTCCAGTATCTGTCTGATGTACTGCTCATCAGCTTTTCCCGGGTTAGTGTCGTCGTATCTCAAGTAACAGACTCCTTTGTGTGCCTGCAGTACATTATGACAGTGGACCAACAAATAACGCTCTCGATGCCAAACACAGTACAGTACCATTTTTCAACATTATGTATATACTGGTGAGTTAGTTGTCTTTCTGCTCACTTTAGCAAAGTTGAAGTTGAAGTTGATAGAGGTAGCGTGTCCAATGTGCAAGATGCCGTTTGGCTCTGGAGGAAATCTCGTCACGGCCTTTTTCCATTTCACAAGAAACAACAACACACGACCATTGTAGAGGGTGAGTCAATCCCTTAGTTGTGGTAGGGCGAGGGAGACGGCTCACCTTTCCCCCTGTCCTCTCCAGGTGCTCCTGCAGCAGAGCCTGCGTCTTGTCCGTGACCACGTATCCCTCAGTCAGGTGGTTCTCTCCCGGCCTGTGAAACTTGCCCACAAGCTGAGCCATGCCTCCTTTCCGTAGCTCGGAGTCCCGCGGCCGTTTGCTAGAGGTAGATGACAGGTCTCTGCGTCGTAGACCGATCGCTACTGCCCTCCTTCCCCGCCGAAGAGCCGCGGACAGCGTAGAAAACTCGGCCATGCCAAGTACGTGCGCTTCAATTAGAACACCAGCCCCGCCCCCGTCATACGTACAAAATACGCATGCGCACACGAGGGCTACAATTAATGATAGCTACAGCCATGAGAGAGAGATTGAGCCTGGCTATTGTGTGAGGTAGAACTGCAATATAAGGCTGAGTAGATGTAGTTATGGCAGGTGCAGTGCACTAGGGAGCAGTCACTAGGTCCTTGGT